CTCCCCAAAAATAAAAGTCCAGGACCAGATGGCTTCCCTGGGGAATTCTACCAAACATTCAAAAAAGACTTAGTACCTATCCTTCTAAAATTCTCCCAAAAAATTGAAGAGGAGGGGAAGCCCCCTAACTCATTCTACGAAGCCAATATTACCCTGACACCGAAATCAGACAAGGACAATGCAGAAAAAGAAAATTAGAGGCCAATATCACTGCGGAACATTGATGCAAAAATCTTCAACAAAATAATAGCAGATTGCATGCAATAATACATTAAAAAGATTATACACCATGATCAGATGGGATTTATTCCAGGGATGCGTGATGGTTCAACATCTGCAAATCAATCGATGTGATACACCACATTAATAAAATGAAGAATAAAAACCACATGATCATCTCAATAGATGCAGAGAAAGCATTTGACAAGATACAGCATACATTTATGATAAAAATGCTGAATAAAGTGGTTATAGAAGGAAAGTATCTCAACGTAATAAAGGCCATATATGACAAACCCACAGCTAATATCATCCTCAAGGTGAAAAACTGAAAGTTATCCCTCTAAGAACAGGAACCAGACAAGGATGCCCACTCTCACCACTCCTATTTAACATAGTATTGGAAGTCCTAGCCAGAGCAATCAGGCAAGAAAAAGAAATAAAAGGGATCCAAATTAGAGAGGAAGAAGTGAAACTGTCACTATTTCCAGATGACATAATTTTATATATAGAAAACCCTAAAGAATCCACCAAAAAACATTTAGAAGTAATAAATGAATACAGTAAAGTTGCAGGATACAAAATCAACATACAAAAATCAGTTGTATTTCTAGATCTGTACACTGAAAACAATAAAACATTGCTGAAAGATACTAAAGAAGACACAAAGAAATGGAAAGATATTCCATGCACTTGGATTAGAAGAATTAACATAGTTAAGATGTCCATACTTCCTAGAGCCATCTACAGATTCAGTGCCATCCCTATCAAAGTTCCAACAACATTTTTCATTGAAATAGAACAAAGAATCCTAAAATTTATATGGAACAACAAAAGACCCTGAATAGGTAAAGGAATCCTGAGAAAAAAGAACAAAGCTGGAGGTATCACACTCCCTGATTTCAAAATAAACTGCAAAGCTATAGTAACCAAAACAGCATGGGACTGGCACAAAAACAGATGCACAGATCAACGGAATAGAAT